TCAGATTAATGTTCAGCTGACCATTAGCTAGTAAGAACTTTTACAGGTACTTCGTGCTGGAGAGCGTATAAGACCACTCGGCGCTTTAACATGTAGAATATACGGTGAAAGATATTAATTGATTTCGTGACCGTCTTAGTTTGAATTTCTGAAATACCTCGTCAAATTATACAGCAAATTCTATATCGAGTTATGCGTAAGCAACGAAACGTTGACAAGGTAACGTGAATCTCCGCTGCAATCGTCGTGTTCAATTAACGACAAACGATGGTGGCTGAACTATCGTAATTTTGTCAAGCTAATAAATTAAAGAAATGATCACAAATTAATAATAACCACGTATCGATGACTTAATTGCACAGAAATGTCAAAAGCTGGTGACCGTGGACTTTTTAAATAGCTGTAAAAAGTAATATCAATTTGTTTGCATTTTAACATTGTGTCAGTACACTGTCTAAGTATACTGGAAGGTATGTCACTGAAATCAACGCAAGTTAAATTTACAGTTATAATAAATCGGTGCCATCTTCTTGATGCATAACGCAAATCCAGTCCCAGGAACGGTGACATCCAAATTGGGAGCGACAAGAGACTTTGAAGGGTGCCAAGGGTGCTCTGAATTGTTTCTTGTGTATTGTGATGTATTTGTACGTGATTTTTTGTCTATTACGAGGAATAGTCACCAAAGTGGTCATCTTGTGTTGTTAGAAAAACGTGTTACAAATGGCTTACCGTTTCACGTGGTGCAATGATGAGGTTGTCGGAGCACGACGCCAACTCTATTCTTATGCCGTCATCAAAATTATTCTTCCTACTGCGCATCAAGGCCTGTCAAAAAATACTGATTTCTGAATGGACAGATACCATAGCGGATGAATGGTTCGGGAAGATATGCATAGTGTTAAATGGAGTGTAAAGATCGATATTGCGATCCTATGCCAATTTCTGCTGCATCCACTTTGTTTTGTTATAACAACGAACATTCGCAAGAATCACGCAACTGCTAAACTGAAGTTTGACCTATATTTAAAGTAATAAATACCAATCTCCTGCTACGTGAGGGCATGGGGATTCTATTTGAGCCAGCTCCAGTAGGTTGAGGTAATTACACTGCCCGCTACTCACAAATGATATCTTTCTGTGACCGATACCTCACGAAGTACTCCTCTTCTCTGAATTCGTATGGCTGAATGATGGTTCGGGAGACATTGGCAATAACTCACGAGTGTTGGCACCCGGAATGAACTGCCATATAATTGCTAGGTAATAAACATTCACAAGATACAGGAAACTGTGAAGATAAATGCTGGCTATCGTGTCAGCTTAAACAACACCTACGACTAGGTAAACCGCAGGAAACGATTGATAAACAGGTCTGACAGTAAACATTGATTAATGAACAGGTCAGCACATCTGGCCAACCATAATGCGATAACGCTATTGACAGGCACATTTATCAACGTCCATATCAAAACTACGGGGAAGACAGTGAGGTCGTTATTGCAGTATGCGAGATACGTAGATCAACCGATCCGACTGTGCAAAAAATTAACTAAGACCGTCGAGAACCGAGTTCTTACGAAGTTCATAAGAAAAAGAAAACTGTACCATTCGAGTAAGCTGTAATATTATATCAACTTCTGGCACTTCTGCTTCTATAGATGAACGAGAAAGGGACAATAAAAATAATCGAAGCCTCATAAAGGTAGGATTCTAGTTCCAAAACAGATTGAAAGACGCGATTGAGAAGAATGCCACGCATACATGTCCAAGGAGACTTTAATGGAATCGTTGGGGGTAAAGACGGAAAAGATTTTTATCCGCAGATACGAAAAGCTGAAATAAAAGAGGGTGGAGACTGCTTCTTAATTTTCGCCGAAAATAACTGTCTTAGCATCATGAACACCATTTTCCAGAACCCCTAAAGAGTCAGCGGACATGAAGAAGTCTATGCGGAAAATGTCAGAACCAAATTGATCAAGTACTGAAGGAATAGAATGGAATAATATACGGTATGACAGTTCATAGGCGAGAATAATATCTATATAGGGTCAAATCACAGGATTCTACGTTGCGATCGATGCATCAAACTAGAAACATCGAAAGATCCCGAATATTACCGCTATTTCGAATGCTATAATTCGATCAGGACGCTTTTGGCGAAGCTGGCATTAATGAGCCGTGAAATGAGCACTGTATTGTTGCTGCTGTTTTGTCATCATCATCTGAGGTTCTCAGGTTATCATAGCTTAGGCAGCAGAGTAATCCAGATTCATGATGTCTGACCATTAGAACTGGTATTTAAGATTGATATTAGTCCAGGTTCAACACTGTGACACTGGTCATGTTCCTCTGCGCAAGTAGGTAGGGCATAACGAAGTATTTTCACGCTTAGCTTTGTTTCCCCTGCGTCTGAGGCCAGTGCGCGGTTCCCAAGAAAGAAAAGATTTCAATATATCTCCATCCTTTTTGGGCTGTTTCATCACTCAAACCAGACACCGGCCTCTGAGTTCCCCTGATAGTTTTCTCAGATCGGTGGTAGTCAGCTCCTGCTCGTTCCTGACCCAGTGATAGCATCGCAGTTTGCGAATGCTGCACAGACAGCGCTGTTGGAAGCGTCTGAACGTGCTTCATGGTGCTTCGGGACGGCAGATGTTTTTCGGGACTGTACATGACCATCGCTAATACGGCTGCGCTCAGAATGGTGATCTTCAAGTCTGTTCTCATAGTCCGATCCTTTCTTATATTATACAGCCTGGCATAATTTGTCGATGCTTATTCTATACGCCCAGTGACTTAAAGATTGATGCAACTGTCGTCAGTCAACGCAGTTTTAACGTTCTTAAAACGGTCCACTTCATTTATCGCAACACTATTCTATAATATCGTTTGACTGCCGATCGCGGCTGGCGCTCTCATAATCTTCACACTCCTAATGCTCGCTTATAAACCCACTCTCTTAGCGATGTAGCACATGTTTTCAGGGAGTTTCAGTAAGCCACTTGTGGATTCTCTCAGCAGCACAACGTTATCGACGTTTCAAGGTCCCTAAGGAATACTGCGGGGTATCTCGTTTTGTGTCCCTGACCAACGGTCAGTACCTCGTTATTTGGGACGATGTTATCACGCATAACGTGGTCTGCCATTAAGTTTAATAACAAAGGAGAAAGCAAGTCGCCTTGACAAATTCGACTGAAAATGTTGAGCCAACCCACAGTGATCTTCCAGTTCAGACGGCGCAGGTAGTCCCCTCATATAGATCTTCTATCAGGCTCACCATCGCCCGTCGGATCTTGTAGTGACGAACGGCGCTTCAATCGTCTGGCGATTAACGGAATTTGAATGCTGCCCGGAAGTCTAGAAACATCGCGTGCCAGGGATGCTTAAAGCTCCGAACTGTTCAGTGAATCGCCTCAGCACAAAGATGTTGTTCGTGAAATCTGTTTAGTTAGTTTGTAGTGAATGACCGATGCATTTTCTTAGTCGTAAAAGAATAATTCGAACGAAGTCCTTCTCCAGCATGGATAGAACAGTGATTCCTCGATAGTTTGCACAGTCTGCACGGCCCTTACATTTGAATATCGGGAATATCGCGCCTTTCTTTCAGTCTTGGGCGATTACCGTCCTTCCCCAGATGCGATAAAAAGCTAGGTGGAACAAGTGGAGGTTTTCATCCTTGCACTTAAGGATTTCCGCTCCAATCCGTCATGTCTACAGGAGTTGGGGCTTCGCCAGAGTCGTTTCGTCTCTCGGAGACCATCGATCAGTGATGGAGTGCAGTGAACATATGGATAGTTTCCGACCTTTTCTTCCATTTAGAGACTTATCAGTGTACCAGACCTACTGACCAACTACTGTGAAGTGCTCATCTCATCGTTTTCAACGGCCATCAGGATCCTGCTGCGTAACAAGGCGGTGGTGTGCTTTCGTTTTTTACCTTCGTCTGCGATATTCACCTGGCTGTGCAGCATCATCTAGTCCCTTTTGGTAGCCTCCTTTTCAAGCTTTTCTGCTTTGAGATTCAACCGTCGTTGCTTGTCCTGGTGGTAGTTCCTGTTGACCGTTTTCACGAGAAAGCGATACTCTCGTTTCTTCGTCTCGTCGGGATCATATAATGGCACACGCGTTGCCGCATTTCTTTCGAGACGAAAACTTACAGAAGAGCTTCTGCTGTTACCCAGTGCAGCGCCGTTGATGATGCTTTCTTTTAGACGGGCTGTAGAGTATCTTCGGAGATAGTGATGTCGTTAACAGCAACGAATTTGCTGCTGATTTCCATCTGAAACGCCTCGTTAGTGACGGGATCATTCAGCTTACCAGTAGTAAACCGGAGTTCACCTCTTTCAGGAGTGTTCCTCCAGTTATTACCAGAAGGCGAAGCTTCGCGACCACTAGGAAACGATCACTTCCAAAGTCCGCACCTCGTTTTGCCCGAATGTGGAGGAGGACACTTTACCATTTGTCGCTGATCAGCACGTGATCGATTTAGCTCCTGAAGTACCCTCCTGGTGCTGTCCACGTCTGCTGATAGACTCGACGATGCGAAAGCTGTAGCGTGTCGATGATAAGACCGTGTGTGACGCCAAGGTCTAACAGGCGTTGGTCGATGTTACTGGCAACATCTTTGTCACGCCGACCTAGCCCGTGGGATCATCCTTCATGGTCGGTGCCGACCCAGGCTTGAGGTCACCGGCAATTATCGATAATTGATTATATAATTAATAATACTTCATAATGTCGCGGGAATGAACCAAGAACAGCATGAAAGCAGGCGTAGAATTGGTCCTTGTTTGTGTCTTCCGCAACTTTATTAGCGGCATAAACGCCGACAAAATTCATGTTACCGCATCTCGCTGAGAACTGTCAAACTATGAAATGGTCGTCAAAGCGTTCTCCGCTCGAAGAAAGGAAGGCAGCAGAACTGCAGCTTCAGCTTCGCGGCGAGAATCCTCGCTACCAGACCAGTAGAACTGCCTTCCATCTTCAGGTGCTGAATTGCTCGGTCTGATAAGTAAATCTCTGGGAGTCCCAAAATGTCCAACTTGTCTCCCTCTGCGGCGAGAGTGACAACGTCAAGTTTGCCATCACTGTTCAACGTCCGTAAATTCCAGCAGGCGACGCATAACTTTTTCTTGCAGATCTTAAGCTTCTGGAAGTCAGATTTCTTGGTAGAACGGTTTGAACCTTCTTGTAGATGTAAAACACTCATCACACAGGCGTCGAAAGCAGCGCGCGGCTCAGCCAAATCGACGCGCAAACGCTCACCTTCCTCCTCCCTCTTCATGAACAGTGAAACAACGTCGAAATGAACATCGGCGAGGGCATAGATGCGGATTATGACTATTTTGTCAACACTATCGAGACCGATACTCAAACATCAAGCCGGACAGTAAAGTAAATAAAAAAATAACGCATTGCTCCTTCAGCAAGGTAGCTACTGACTGGAAGAGCCCGAATGAAGGCCGAACGGAAAATGGACAACGTTTACACTGCTTTGTGCAACAACAAAAAAACACGGAAGCAGTTGAGGGATAATTACGAAGGTTACGGGGGAATGCAGTGTTAGAACATTTAATTGCTCTGCCTTGACTCAGAAAACAATGTTGCCGCAAGGACAGTCTTAAACCCAACGTCATGAATGAGAATGAGCCGTGAGTTAACAGTGAAAACATTCGTAAATGAACAGTTAGACTGTCGTTCAATTGGACATTTTTCTTTCACGCCTTGGTATATGAGTACAGGTGTATCTAGTAGCTGCCATATTCATAGTAAAATGTGGCGCAGTGTATTTCCCTTGGTTGCTAAGATAAACGCAGGTAGCTGACATGAACCCCAAAACAGTCGGTCGAGAAGGCTCTGGAGAAGGATAGTGAGAAATTAAAATTCACTCATTGTCAGTTCCAAGCAGTAATGCACTTGTAGGCATGCAGTTTAACAGCTCGTGTGAGCGAGGACTATTCAT